TCAGAACTTCCACAAACGCAGAAATATCCGTCTCATCCCTTGTGGTATTGGCCTGATCCTCCGCAAAAATATCCTCGTCATCAGCCAACTCACCCTCAAATTTATCGTTTACTTTACTATTCATTTTCTTCTTATCCTTCTTCCCAGCCCCAGCGGCAGCCCCTACTCCACTTGACCTCTGTCCAATCTTGTTCCTCCGAGCAACTTTGCCGAATCGGCTCTTGACCTCACTAACCCAACACTCACCCTTTCCATCCGCCCTCAGCACCCGCCACGCTTCCTCAACAAATGACACCCAATTCGTCCCCATCAAGCTAAGGCAGAAAATAGCCACATCGACCGTCCCATCTCCAACCGGCAGCGCCGCAATATCCGCTTTCGTAATCAACGGGTCGGCCACATGGAGATCAAAGCTGAGCAACTTGAGCTTCAGAGCCTTGGCTGACGGCGTTAGGACCCGTGCAAATTTCGCATCGCCACAGCCCATGTCTGCTATCGTACAGAACCCGTTGGGCCGTCGCGGTAAGGGCCCAAGAGCAGCAGCTCTCCACGCATTTTTATCTAGCTTTCTATTGTGAGGGCCCTTTTTATTAGGTAGGCGGACGTCGCTACGGGTCGTCACGGTGCTGATGTAGCCATCGACGGGGTTGGAGGGCCAGGACTCTTGAACCTGTCGAGTAAATCCTGCGTGGTATTCTGCAAAGAGCTCTGGGTTGGAGGTGAAGAGCTCCATGGCTTGGCTGGACGGCGTGGTGTAGAGGGTTTGGTTGAGGTGACGGAATCGGGCAGAGAGGAGCTTGTGGCGCATGGATTTCTGGAGAGGTGTGAGGGACGTGGATGTCGGGGGAGCAGGAGGTAAGGGGTCGACTTCCACTGGAGCTTGTGAAGCCGCACCATTCATCTGTCGAGCATTACTATCTGCTTTGCGCTTCTGCTTCTTGTTTTTCTTGGACGGGCCACTTGAATTTCCTTTCATCACAAGTGTGGAGGTAGAGTCATCTTTCGATTTGACCCTGTCAGGGCCCTTATCCTTCAATCCCTCAACTGCTCCGTCCTCTGCCGGTTTTTCTAACTGTCTCCTTTTTTTCAGTGCCTTCATCTGTGCGCGGCTCTTTTCGCTTGAACTTGGTGCTTCCCCTTCAATTACCCTCCTCCACATTTCATCCACATTCGCCTTGGTGACCTCCTGGCCATTGAGACTCTTTCCCTGCTTTCTTTTTCGCTTCTTCGATTCGGCATTCGGCTCTGTAGAAGTTTGCGGCTGGGCAGGTGTGAGTACTGGTTTGGCTGCGTATTCCGTTTGTAGCTTCAATTCCGTATTCGAAACGGACCATCCCGGGACGGCGAACATGGCGGCGTCCGGGTTATAACACGACCGCAAATACTACCCGTAGCCCAGTGGGAAACATACCAATTCTGGTGTGAGCGGTTTTCGGCTACAAATATTCAGAATGTGCCACCTTGGCGCTGACTCATCAAAGGATGTGCTGCTGCAAGACGATTTCCATCTATGGTTCCTACCGAGTATCTGCTGCCGAATTATAGACATCTCCTGTTATATTATATCTAATTACCTGAGTCTTGCGTGTCTCTCTTTCTTTACGGCACATACATGTCGAGGTCTGCATTCTGGGACACTGGAACCAATCAGCCATGCGGTCTTACATGAGCATAATCCGATAAAAATTGTAAAAATAAAACAACTTTACTAATTAAATATGACTAGTTATTCCTTTAATATTCTCATATCGGGTGCATATGTATGAGGGGTTATTAAGGCTCAATAGAGATGGCATCCGCAGCTCCCTTCATAAGCCATTCTGACAATAATGAAGCAAAAAAAAAAAAAAAAAAAAAAAAAAAAAAAATCAGTCAGTATTTGGCTTCCCAGGTTTCTGGCCAAAAACAATGTAGCTACACTCGCGAGTTACAGGAGTCAGCCATGAGACTAGTGCAAGCCAAAATCCATCAATTTTTGGAGGGGGGAATGACAAAAGGAAAACAAAAGGTAACAAAGCTGCGGTAATGCGTACAAGTGGAATATGGGATGAATCTTCGGGTTCCTTGCATCCTGCTTCGTCTTCGCAATCAATATGTCGACTTCTGCCTTTGACCAATTTTGGAAACGGGTCAATGCAGCCACAGCACTCGCTTCCAGAGATTCTTCGAACTGGAGGAGGTTGTAGGCACCGATTGTTTTCTAAGGCAAGAGGAGAAGTTAGTAGCCGCTTAAGATATTCTGCACCTAGGACCCATGAGTCCATCGAGATATTTGTTGTGATTGAGAATAGGAAAAGGAGAGGGGAGGAGGCGAAACAGGGAAAACAAACATAGCATTTGTCCTTCGCCCACGTTCCGAGTGGGACGATGTGCTTGTGAACCTGAATGTTAACGAATCCGGCATCCTTCATCCATTTCTCGAGATATCTGCCTGGTCGAGTGCTGTAGCCAGCGCTCTCAAAGGCAGGAAGGGTGTTGAGGAAATACTGCTCGATACTGGTGCCTTTTGTTGAATCGTCCGCAGATTGCACCATCGCATCCCAGTCTTGGAACTCGGCCCATCCGCCAGGTTTGAGGCAGCTGTGGAAATATAATTCTCAGCATTGAATAATCCTAAACGTGACATGGTAAAGGTATTTAATCATACGCAAATGACTGCTCTAGCAAACGTGGCATGTTTTTTAAAGTACCGGTAAGGTATCGAGCGTGGATAAAGTCGAATGGATCATTCTCATAACCCCATTCGTCTTCGACATCATCGATTATGAACTTAACATTCGGAGGAACCCTGCACTTGTTAGAATGCGATCGAGACACCAAAAACTAGAGGGCGAAATTGGACAAAGCGAGACCAACAGTCTGGGTTGAATAGGACTGAGGTCGTTTCCGATAATCTTAAGAAGAAACAGATTTTAGTAAGGTACTAGCTTCCCATATAGCAAGCAAGCTGCAAAACTGATGGAGGATATGCTTTACCTCGGCAGATGGAAACAAATCGGCTTAGATATTTATATGGTTAGCCTTGAGCCCAGATTACAAATAGCATAAAATGTACAAATAGATATATGAGCGCATACCAAATTCAATTGCCCAGATGCCAGTCCCGGTACAGAGATCAATGACTCTACCTGGGGAATCTCCGATAGGGGAGAAGAATAACCTATCCTTCATAACGACCCGAATGAGGGCATGATGCATGTCAAGTCTGTCATTTTCCCGCTCATCATTGGGGAAGAGATATCCTAACGAGGTATTAGATGCATGACATTCGATTCGCAATTAAATGAGGATTCTCCAAGAAATTTACGAAAGAACTACTCACGTCCTTCTTTATAGGCATGATATCTTCTACCTACAGATGCACATATGCACAAGAAGAATAAGTACGATACTATTTCATGTTTGGTCTCTCAGGTCCATACCGTTTTCCCTGTGGTCTCTGTCAATACAAACAATTTGATCATTATGGCTAGAGATTGGAGAGCATCGCGGGCCAACAAACCTTTGGTAGTTAGTTACACTTGATGTCACTGATGCAGAATAGCACAGACCTGTTGTCATGTTCCGTCAGTTCTGCGGTAC